TCCCCCCTCCCTACACACCCTCTTCTTCTCCCCTCCACACCCTCTTTCCCTCCCCCACCCTCTTCTCCTCCCCCACATCCTCTTCCCCTCCCCCACCCTCTTATCCTCTCCCCATGCCCTCTTGCCCTCCCCCAACACCCTCATCTCCTCCCCGCCATCTCCTCCTTCTCCTCACCCCTCTTTAGCCCCCATACCCTCTTCTCCTCTACTCCACGGCCTCTTCTCTTCCCCCCATGCCCTCTTCTCCTCTCCTGATGCCATCTGCTTCTCCTCCCATGCCCTTTTCTCCCCCATCCACCCGTTTCCCCCCATGCCCTCTTCTCCTCCCCCAATCCCTCTTCTTCTCCCCTATGCCTTCTTCTCCTCCCTTCATGCCTTCTTCTCCTCCCCCCTCCAGTCTATTTTTCTTCCTCCCACTCAGTCTCCTCCTTTCTCCCACACCACCTTCTGTGTGGGGGCAGGTGACCTGGAGGTCCTCGGAGGGAAGATTCTCTGGATGAAGTTACCAGCTGTGTGAGGGGATGGACAGGAGTGAGTCCTGGGCTCTCAGCAGTCTGCTGATTCTGTTTTGGGAGGCTCAGGTCAATAGTCAGGTACCCCGTGCCTATAAAAGCTAACCCTCATTACAGGCCAAACACAGTGGCTCAGCCCTGTAATCCTAGCCCCTTGGAAGGCTGAGGGAGGAGGATTGCCTGAGGTCAAGGCTGCAGTGAGCTGTAATGTTGCCACTTCACTCCAGCCTGGGTGAGAGAGAAACCCTGACTCAAAAAAAAAAAAATAATAATCAAAACCAAAAAACTAATCCTGGTTACAACTGGAGTCCCTGCCGTGGTGGGCAGGGGACAGCAGGACAGGAGACAGCACCGGGACCTGGGAACACCTGGGCAGGGGAACAGCTGTGCCCGGAACCCACCGCAGCGCTGCACGGGGGACATATTTGGGCGCCGGACATGCCGCACCCGGGGACACTGTTGGGCTTCGGACGCTGTTCCGGCCCAACCTGCCTACCCGGCCTGACCTGCAAGTGAGCAGCTGGGGAGGACACAAGAGCAGCGAGGGAGAGCCTGCAGGTCCTGGGGACGGGGCCCCGGGGCTGGGCTCGGCCTGGGGAAGTCGCGGGGCTGGCCCCGCCCCCATCCTGTTTAGAGGCGCCAGTCCAGAGGGAAAGCCGTGGAGCTTGAGCCCTGGACCTGCCACCCACCCCTTCTGGGCCTGCCGGTTTTCCCAGGTGGATGCCCTGCAGGGATGCGGTCGCAGGTGCTAGGAGCACAGGTCAGCCTGAGGCCACCCAGGAGTCTGTGGGGCTGTTGGGCCACCTCGGCGTCCCTGAAGTGTCTCATGAGTGGATCCCCGCCTGGCCGGGTGGTTGAGCTCTCCCTTGGCCCCAGCTGATGCATTTGCCCTGGGCTGGGTGCTGGGTGTGGGGTCCACCCAGCTCCGGAGGGCAGACCATCCTCAAACAGACCATGGCCAGCAAGCCTCTTATGTTGCCTGTAGTAAGAGCAAAGAGAGAGCCGCTCGGCACAGCAGCATAAGGTAGCACACGGTGGCACGTGGCTCCCAGCAAGCTAATGGAGGGGGCAGGGGGGTTTGCCAGAGAGAACTTGCAGATGTGGGGTGGCAGGTCCTTGGATAGGCTTGCCTCAAAGGGAGTGGGACATGGAGGGGACCCGCCTGTGGGGCAGCCCCGCCCTCTATCAGGCAAGGGTGATGGCTCCGTTGTGAGATGTTGGCACCCAGGTGGAAGTGAGTGTGGCCTCACAAGCGCAGAGTTTGGGCTAGACCAGGTGTCCCTGCTGCCTCTCAGGACAGCCCAAGGCTCAAATCTGCCTTGTGGAAGGAGGAGCCACGATGCCTCACCCATGGAGTCACTTCCTCTGCCCAGCCTCCTGTCTCACCTGCAGACATGGTGGATGAGGTGGCCCGTGGGAGCCCCAGGCAGCTACTTCCCTACATAGGCATGGGCAACTCCAAACTCACCGCCTTGGTTTCCCTGTGTAGAGTAGGGTTGAGAGGATGGCTGTCTTCACTGACCTGGGCGTTGAGGGTTACAAGATGAAACTGTGCTGCGCTCAGATTAAATATTACCATCAATGTCAAAGTAAGACACGGTCAGAGTCCTTTGGCCCCAGCGTGGGGATCCCCAGTGAGGCCGAGAGAGGCAGAGCCAGGCTGTTCCCAGAGAGGGTGAGTGAGAGGCCGGGTGGGCTGTTCTGGTCTTCAGAACAGCAGGAGGGTCAGAGAGGAGTGCCTGTGTCCATGCCCAGCTGGAGTCCTGTCCTTGCTCACTGGAGGGGCCCCCCTGGGGATTCCCTCACATTACCCCTCCCGCCTGGGGTTCTTGGGTCCAAGTCCAGCTGTCTCTCAGCGCGTTAAGTGAGATCTGCCTCCCTTGGTCTTACCTGGGTCACTTCAGTGTTTTGGAGTCTCATGTGCTCTTGGGGGCCTTGAGCTCATGAGAGTCCATCGAGGCTGCAGCGTTGGCATTTAGGCTCTGGGTATCAGGTGGGAAAGGCGTGGGTTGGTGTCAGGTCCGCTTTCTTTTCCTGGGCATTGGGGGACATCAGAGACTTGCTTCAAGCCTTGTAAGGATGGATGGGGCACTGACTACTGTCCCTTTCTTGTCTCCAGAGCTGCCCAGGGGACCCACAGGCTGTCGTTTGGCACCACACTGCCCTGCACAATGCTGTCCTGGCGCCTGGCCTGGGCCTTGGCCTCCTGCCGGCTGGCTCCCATTAGACACCGAGAATGTGGCTTCCTGCACACAACTCCGGCCACCCGCACAGACGGGGCTGCCCCAGTATTCACCCGTGCCCCAGGCTTTGGGGACAGGACTGCCCTGGTTGACCAGCACGGCTGCCATACCTACACGGAGCTGTACTCCCGCAGCCTCCGCCTGTCCCAGGAGCTCTGCCGGCTGCGCGGTGGCAGCAACCTCGGCGGGGAGCGTGTCTCCTTCCTGTGTGCCAACGACGTCTCCTACGTGGTGGCACAGTGGGCCACGTGGATGGGTGGCGGCGTGGCAGTGCCCCTCTACAGGCAGCACCCCACCCCACAGCTGGAGTACGTCATCCGTGACTCACGCAGTTCCATCGTCATCGCTGGTGAGGAGTATGCAGCGCTCCTGAGCCCGGTGGCCGAGAAGCTGGGCGTCTCCCTGCTGCCCCTCACACCCGCCGTCTACCATGGCTCTGCGGAGGAGGGGCACGTCCCGGTGCAGGAGTGGCGAGACCACGGCGCCATGATCATCTACACCAGTGGGACCACAGGCATCCCTAAGGGTGTGCTGAGCACTCATGGGAACCTCAGGGCCATGGTGAGCGCTCCTTCCTACTGCTACAAGGTGGAGGTAGCCTGGACTAGGCGAGGCCCCTTGTGCCGCTGTCCGTCCGCACCTCTGTGGGGCTAGGCATGGCCCTCCTATGTGATGGGCCACAGGTGCCACTACCAGCCTCACCCACCCGTGCTGGTGGCTCCGGACAGCTCGGCACAGGGGTGGGGGCCTTTGGCAGGGTGTGGCAGGACTGGATGGCAGGGACCATGGGCGGCGTGGACTGCCAAGTGATGCCAAGGTGTTTCAGAGATGGGCGTCGCTTGGCTGCAAGGCCTCACTCAGGTTGGGGTGTCCAGGCAGCCCAAGGACACATAGCTTGTGTGACCGTGTCTCGACATCACTTCTGTAGCTTCGATTCCATCTTTGCAAGACCCACAGCCACGGTGTTTATCTAGAACTTACTCCTGCCTCTTCCACAGAGTCCTGGAGTAAGAAACTAGCAATTGCAGCTCAGGACCGCAGATCCCCAGGACTGCGGCTCTCACAGCATGGGAGCAGGAGGGGCCTGGCTTCGGGCTGCTGGTGGGCAAGGTGGGATGCAGAGGGGCTGTCCCCAGGGGAGGCATGCTTACCTGGAGGGGGGTCTCTGGCCCCTTCCTTCCGAGGGAGCGAGACCCTCAGGGCTGCCACACAGAGCTGTGGGGTGCCACATATGTGGCCTCTGGGTTACACAGGCCTCAGTCAGAGCCAAGGACATGCCAGGAACCCACTCTGGGTCTGTCCTCGCTGCGTGGTTTGGGGACTATCACACACATCCAGTGCTGTTCAGTGGCCCCATGGTCAGAGGTGGTCGGGTTCCAGCCTGAGCAGTGCTGGGTCCCTGAACTGCAGGGCCCAGGAGGACAGAGAGGGGCTGGCAGGCATTGTCACTGCCCCCTCACACTATGCATGCCTGGGTGCTTGCAAGGTCCATCCCAACACATCCCAAATTCACACCATCCCCCACTGTGACTCTGTTCCCGTCCTGGAGCTGGGAACCCGACAGCCTCCGTCCCTCCATCATTTGTCTCTCAGACATGGGTCACAGGGCAGCCCAGCCTGCCTTCCCCTCCCGTACTCAGTGGGTGACTGAGGGCTGTCTGCACATCCTCGGCTCATGGAGCCACGTGCTGCAGCCTCACCCCGCTCTCAGTTGTGCTGTTTCCCCTGCAGGTGACTGGACTGGTCCACAAGTGGGCATGGACAAAAGATGATGTGATCCTCCACGTGCTCCCACTGCACCACGTCCACGGCGTGGTCAACAAGCTGCTGTGTCCGCTTTGGGTGGGGGCCACCTGCGTCATGCTGCCCGAGTTCAGCGCTCAGCAGGTGAGTTGGGGATGAACTTTGGCCACTACCTGGGCCACGTGCTTTTCTCAGGATGCAGTCAGTCAGCCCCCTGACTACAGGGGCCATGCTCCAAGACCTAGCAGATGCCGAAGATTCGAGTGGAACTGAGTCTTGCGTGTGCTGTGTGTCCTACACACACAGACCCGTGCAGAGCTTGGTCTACAAACCAGGCTCAGGAAGAGACCAATCATGAAGCCAGTCATGAAGCAGCACGGCACATGGCAGTAGAAGCACCATGGTCATGGCTCTGTCACCTGTTTTCAGACTGCACTGACTGCAGGTGACTACCCCATGGATATAGGCATACTGTGTGGACTCTTCTGCTCTGAGGCTCCCAGGCACCGTGACAAGTGGCCACAGACATGGCAGTTAGAACAGCGCACATTTCTTCTGTGTGGGGCAGGAGGGGGTGCTCTTGAGATGAGTCTTGGGGCAGGTGAGGGGTTGAGTGAGCTGCCCACGTGGAGGCTCCAAGAGACTCCTGCCCTCCAGCTTCCGAAGCCCCGCACCTGTTCCTCTTCCACTTCTGCCCTCGTGGCGGCCTGCTCTCCATGGCCATCCTTCCTCTGCCCCTTCTGCCGTCCTACCTCTGCCAGCTGGATCCCAGGACACTCCCACCCCCGTGGTCACAGCACCATCGGAGGAGACCCGGGCAGGTCCAGGGTGCGGGCCGGGCCATCTTGTGGCAGAGACTCCGCCCTTGCTGCCCAGAGGAGGATGCCTAGTCAGCCGCTGCCCACCACCAGTTCCTCCCTCCACGTTCCCCTTGGAGCAAGTGATGGGGGGAGAGTGGGTGCCAGCTACATGGGCAACGGGGTGGGAGTGCATGCCCAGCCTCCTTGTGTGGCCTTGCCCACGCACAGTGCTGTCTCAGGGTGTGGGCTGAGACATGCTATGGAAGAGAAAGGACCCAGCTGGAGGCTGCCCACCCCTGCAGGGCTGACCATGCATGGCCTGGCCTCTGGGAAGCCTGTTCCTTGCCTGCCAGTTGGAGACCGCGGTGACCTGGGACCGGCTCTGAGCTGACGTGGGAAAGGCGTGGCACATCTCAGCAGGCGCTGGAAACAGGTGTCCTCCACAAGGTCACAGGTCTCCACTGGCTTGTACTGATGCAAGGGTAGAACGTTCCAGAAGCCACCAGGAATGCAGCATGATGACAGTGCTCCTACCACAGATACCCATGCGGCTGCGAGAGCCCTGAGGCTGGTCATGGGGCTGGGCCCAGCCTGTGTAGGCAGACATCACCTACAAGAGGCACAGGCTGGGGTCCCATCCCAGCAGCACCCCATGCTCATGGTGTCAGTGTGTGCTCGATGGACAGGGCTTTCAGCTTACCATGGATTTATGGGGCATGAGTCTGTGTGATGGGAACAGGTGCCAAAGCAGTGGCTGGGGCCTCACACCTCAGAGGTACTTTCACTAGTGCAATGCCTGGTGTTGTGCTGAGAGGTCTCCACAGCCTCAGTAATGGAATCGTACAATACATTGGGAAGATGGGAGAGAGGAGGATGCAGTGGTTGTGGAGGCCAATAGGAAGGAGGAAGCTGCAGTGGGTGTAGAGGCTGACAGGGATGAGGTTGCAGTGGGTGCAGAGGCTGACAGGGATGAGGCTGCAGTGGGTGCAGAGGCCGACAGTAGAGAGGAGGCTGTGGTGGGTGTGGAGGCCAGACTTCAGATAGCAGTAGCCCTCTGGCTGGTTTGGTGAATTCCAAGAAGATGAATTATACCGAGGGAGCCCCCAGAGCCCCACGTGGCCTGTGATAACATTGAGCTGGTCAGTGTGTTTCCTTGGCCCAGGTGTGGCACCCTCACAGGTCATCTGTGCGTGTCCTCTCTCTACCACACGTGTACTCTGCCCTCAGGAGTCACGGGTCACCTGTATGCATCCTCTTGGTACTGCAGGTGTGTCCTCTCCTTCTTACATGCTGTGGGAATCATGGTAACCATCTGAGCTTTTGGCGGAGGTGCCTGGCCAGGATGTTGGGTCCCCAGTATGGACTGAGTGCTCTCGGACCATCCTCCCTCCTGTTGTGCCTGGGCAGCATGTGAGAGAAGGTTCCCTCCCAGGTCATGCCTGGCATGCATGTGCCATCCATGTGCCCCTTTGAGTCTTATGGTACTATATGAGCCCCGAGAGAGCATAGGCCCAGCCAAGCTGAAGTCCCTGCTCGGTGCACCCATCCCCACCATCCTGCTGCATGCGGGGACAGCATCATACAACAGGCTACCGGGGATGGGCTTGGGCAGCAGGTGGGAGAGCGCTGAGCTTAGAAGCCAGTGTCAACCTGTTGTGTGCCAACAGGGGTGGGCTGCCCCCTCACACGGCCCCTGCCTCCACCAAACCCATGTAGACCAGACAGCCTTGTGTCAGGGACACTGCAGGCATGACGGTGACTCGGGCGCTTGCAGGTCATTGGCTGGTCCCCAGGGAGCCTGGATGGTGGCCTGCATGTCCACCATGTGAATAATGCTGCTGTGGCATCTGCATGTAACCTGGCATGGACAGGATTTCACTGACCTTACAGACACATGGGAGGGAGCAGTGGGTTCTGTGGATGTTCATGCTTCACATTTTAGAAAACTGGCAAACACTCTTCCCGAGCAGCCACGTTCTGCATTCTCACCCTGTACAGGTGTTCCAGTCCTCCCCGTCCCCCTCTCCTTGCCAATGCTTGTTGCTGGATGATGACTGTTACTGTTACCACTGCAGTGGCTACAAAGTGGCATCTCCTTACCACACATCCCTCGTGTCCCCCATTCTCCTCATAGCAGCTTTATTTTTTATTTTATTTTATTTTAGTACCTCTGAGGGATATACATAGTTTTTGGTCTGGGCGTCAGGTGTGCCCACCCCCACCTGTGCACATTGTCCCCAGCAGGTGAGTTTCTGTCCCTCCCCCTCCCCCTCCTGAGTCTCCAGAGTCCCTCACACCATTTCTGTGTTTTTGCGGACCTTAGTTTAGCTCCTGCTTACACATGAGGATGTGCGGTGTTAGGTTTTCTGTTCCTGTGTTAGTTCACATAGGATGATGTTCTCTAGTTCCATTCAAGTGGCTGCAAAAGATGCAGTCTCATTCTTTTTGATGGCTGAGGAGTATTGCATGGTGTAGATATTCCATGTCTCCATCATCCACTGACCAGCTGATGGACATTTGAGTTGGTTCCACATCTTTGCGATTGTGAGTTGTGCAGTGTCGTGCTGGCGTTCCTAATGCTCTCATCTGCACCCAGGTGCCCTCATGGTGAACTGTCTGTCTCGTCCTTATCTGTTTCAGGTCATGTTTTCCCCCAGGAACCCTCGTTGGTGAACTATCTATCATGTCCTGGCCCATTTTAGGTCATGTTTGCCCTCAGGAACCATCCTTGGTGAACTATCATGTCCTGACCCATTTTAGAACGGGCCAGTTCTTGTCACTGAGCCCTGATATCTCCATGAATTTTGATGCAAGTCTGTTTTCAGATACACAGTTTGCAAATACTTCCTCCAACTCCAACTTGTCTTTTTCACTTCCTCATGTCTTTGGACGCACTTGTTAATGTGAATGAAGTTCATCTTATGAAAGTTTACATTTTATAGACCATGCTTTTGGTACTGTTTCTGAGAAATCTTTGCCAAACCAAAGATCAAGATTTTTCATGTGTTTTCTCCCAGATGCTTTATAGGTGTAGGTCATACACTAAGGTCTCTGGTCAACTCTGGGTGGGTGTTTGCGTGTGGCATGACACAGGGTCTAGAATCTGTCTTTTTGCCCGTGATGATTTAATGTCTCAGCACCATTGCTGGCAAGGCGATCCCTTCCCCTGCTTGGGACTTGGCTCCTTTGTCAAAGTCAACAGACCGTCAATGTGTTGGTTTATTTCTGGACTCCCAATCCCGTTCCCCTGATCTGCCATCTAATCCCACACCAGAGCCACACTGCGCTGGGTACTTTCTCTGGTCAGCCTGGAATTGGGTGGAATGTCCTCGACTGTCATCTGCCTTTTCAAGGGTGTTTTGGGTCTTCCAGGTCCTTTGCCTTGTCACATAAAGCGCAGTGCCAGCTTGTCAATTTCTAAAAAGCACAGCCTCTTTATATTTAAGCAACAGGTGTTTATGGTGGCATGAATGGCAGATAGATAGACTATAGATAGACATATGAATCGACTGAGAGAGATCTGTAAAGACGCCTCTATAGGAAAGGGAGTTTTGGGGCAACACAAGAGAGTTCACCCATCCTGTCTGGGACTGCCTCTCCCTGCAAAGGCCAGACTCGACATCCAGGCAGGGTGGCCTCGGGGAGGGGTGGGATACTCGGGGCCCCTCCTAGGTGGGTGCCACCAGGGATGCTAGTCTCATGACAGGGAGACATCCATGGAGCAACTGTGCCTGGAGCCGGAACACTGCCCGTGTCTCTCAGGCCCCTCCAGCCACACTTCCTCTTCTCTGCCCAGGTTTGGGAGAAGTTCCTAAGTTCTGAAACTCCACGGATTAACGTCTTCATGGCTGTGCCCACAATCTATGCCAAGCTGATGGACTACCATGACAGGCACTTCACCCAACCACACGTCCAGGACTTTGTGCGTGCCATCTGCAAAGAAAAAATAAGGTAAATGGAAAAGCCCGCTTTCCCCTCAGAAAGCCTTAAAGCTGTAAAGGCGGGGCTTACCTGACACAACAGTGCTGAGTCCCAGGAAGCAGAGTCTCCCTTTCCTATAGATGGTGTCTTTACAGATTTCTCTCAGTCGATCCATTTGTCTATCTATAGTCTATCTATTCCATTTCCACAGCCAGCTGCCTGTCATCTATTCCTCAATCATCTGTCTTCTGTATTTTTTCCATCTGTCTCTTTGTCCTGTCTCTTAGTCTCTCTGTCCTATCTCTGTCTCTCCATCTGTTTCTCCATCTTTTCTGTCTCTGCCCGTCTGTCTCACCATCTGTCTCTCTGTCCTCTCTATCTCTGTCTCACCATCTTCTTTATCTCTGTCTCTCCGTCTCTCTTTCCTATCACTGTATCTCTGTCCTATCTATGTCTCTCCATCTACTCTCTCTGTCTCTCCATCTGTCTCTCTTTCCTATCTCTGTCTATCTCTCTATTTTCAATATCTGTCTCTCCATCTGTCTCTGTGTCCTCTCTGTCTCTGTCTCTCTATCTCCTTTGTCTCTCTGTCTCTCTGTCCTCTCTCTGTTTCTCCATCTTCTCTATCTCTGTCTGTCTCTGTCTCTCAGCTTCTCTATCTCTGTCTCTCTGTCTCACCATCTTCTCTATCTCTGTCCCTCCATCTATCTCTCTGTCTCTCCATCTGTCTCTATCTACACTGTCATAGAATCTGATGAGGAGGGTAAGAATAGTGAGTGACCCCCTCGCTGTGGTTCACTCTGACCACATGTCCTGTGGCTCCTCCTCTGCTGGGCCGTTTCTCTCAGCCTGGTCTGTGGCCTTTTGTCCCTCCTGACTGGGCATACCTACTGCTTCCCCGACACCCCACGCCCCTCCCAAGGTGAGCTGGTCTTTTGGGTCATTGGTGGCATGATGCGAGCCCCAGACCTTCTTTTTTTGAGTTGGAGTCTCACTCCGCTGCCCAGGTTGGAGTGCAGTGGCACACTCACAGTGACCCCAACATCAACCTGCTGGGTTCAGACGATCCTTCCACCTCAGCCTTCCAAGTAGCTGGAACCACAGGTGTGCACCACTGTGCCTGGCTAACTTTTTGATTTATTGTAAAGGTGAGGTCTCACCAAGTTACCCAGGCTATTCTTGAACCCGTGGGCTCAGGCAATCCGCTCACCTCAGCCTCCCAAAGTGCTGGGATTACAGGCTTGAGCGATGGTGCCCGGCAAGCTCCCAAACTTTTTACGGACTGGGGGATGGGGACGTTTCTTATCCCATGTTGTGCTGCAGTGCACTCACTAGCTGGGACACGTGTGGGGCTGCATGAGCCTCCACATGCCTGCAAACTGTATTCCCCACAGGCCCCTGGCCAGGGGATCCTTTCTCTTTTACGGGAGGGCGAGGGCATGGCAGCACTGGTAGAAAGTGAGCTGAGGCCCCCAGAGCCGCCATGTCAATGTGGACTTGTGATTCTGATGAGCTTCCTGGTGGATACAGCGACCACCGCCCCCTGCGCCAGCATCCTCATCCTCGGAAAGTGCGGGGAAGTTGCCCTATTCCAGAGCAATCCCAAGAGAAGCGTCTGGCACATTTTGCTCCATGTACTATTTGCTCCTCTATGAAGACCTCCGAGGAAGCTGGAGCCAGGGTTCTGCTCGTGGCCACACGCACTGCTTTCGTGATCATGCCCTCTGCTCCCGAGCCCTCCGGGAGGCATCCCAGGTGGGGCTAAGGCCCCCAAGTTGAGCAGGACCTGTAGCTTGTTCATCAGATCCAAACCATCAGGAAAGGTCAGGGAAGAGGGAACCAGAGTGGGTTCCAGGGCCAGCCCTGCTGGGCGACCCCGGGGTATGGAGGCAGGCACATGCCACACCAGCCGCGAGCAGCAGCCCTTCTACTGTGCACATCCCTGAGCAAGCACCGTGGGTGCGGGAGCCCCAGAACACGTGCCAGGACCCAGTGGGTCTGGGCCCTCCTGCCCCTCTGATGAGGAACATTTCACCCATCGTCAATGCGCTGCTGTGGTCACTCGAGTTGTGGCTGCTGTTGTTTAGGGTTGCTGGCACTAGCACGCTCGGGGTCCACCTGAGACCCCAAGGTGTTCCCATCCTCGGCCACTCATTACCCTGAAGCTGGTCATGTTCTGAAACCTGCCAGCATGTTCTGCTAAAGTAGTAGCACATCTCAGCACAGGCTGCGGGCTGTCTTGGGGTGAAGCTTCCAGCCAGGAGCGCGTGGTGTGGGCACCCATGAAGACGTGTGTGTGTGCTGCCACACCCAGGGAGCTGAACCGCCTGTGATTGTGCGTGTAGGTTGATGGTATCTGGCTCAGCTGCCCTGCCTGTCCCCCTGCTGGAGAGGTGGAAGAGGATCACTGGCCACACGCTGCTGGAGAGGTACGGCATGACCGAGGTCGGCATGGCCCTGTCTGCGCCCCTGACCGCTGCACGCCTGCCAGGTATGAGCAGCTCTGAGACCCCCACGGGCCAGCCTTAGGCCCCACACCTGGACCAGCAGGGCAGGAGGGATGCTGCCCCCAGGACAGGCTGCAGGGCACTCACCACCTGCCATGGCTCACCCACTCTGGGCAGATCCACTTTCTCCCAAGTGGCCGGTCAATGGCAAGACAGAAAGGGCCTCCTGGTGCCAAAGCCCAAACCAGAGGGCCGGGAGATGCACGGGAGAGTGGGAATCCAGAACTCAGGAGCTGACATGGGTTCAAGGGTGGCATGCCTGGGATTGACACTGCTCCCCCAGACCCTGTTGTCTACTGACCGGAGCCTCTCACTTGCGTCTCAAGTGCAGGTGCCACATAGCACTGGTGGTGGGCGAGAGACGGAATGCATGACGGGCAGGGTGGGACTCTGCACTCCTGGTCTTCCCATCTAGATGGCCCTCCCAGCACCTGGCTCCTCCTCTTACCCAGCTACCCCTGAAACATTCCATTCTGATCCTCATGTAAGCAGACCCTCGGTCCTGGGTCCTGTGGGCTCCTGCGGTCAGAGCCCTGGCTGGGAAGCCGCCCACTGCCCTCCGCATGGCCTTGTCCATCCTCACAACGTGACCACTCTGGCTTGTCCAAAGCAGATGCGAGGCCTCAGGGGAGCAGGACAGGCTGGTCTGTGTCTCCGTCTACACATCCACGTTTCTCACCAGGAGATCCACCTGTTCTGGCATGTGGTTCTGTGAGTGCTAAGATGAGGAAGGGCCACCACCACCAGAATACCCATTTGGTTGTGGCCACCCTCAGCTTGGTCCCTGCTGACCATTTCTCCTCCTATGGTTTGTTTTTCTGGAAGGCCACGTGGCTGATTCCTGGTGGCCAGCCTGTGGCCCACCACAGCTGTGCGTGTCAGGGCATATCCTTCTCACTGCCACATCGCGTCCACAGTGTGGCTGCACCTCCATATGTGAACTGGTCATCAACTGAAGGACACTTTCCTTGCATTCAGGGCAATCTCAAGTGAAGATGTCATAATCACGTGTGTGCAGGGTTTTCTGTGAATGTTGGTTTTTACTTCACTTGGGCAAATACCTAGGAGCAAGGTCTTGGGGAGCTTAGAAACTGCCAGAGGGGCCCCACTCGGTAGCTCACCTGTAACTCCAGCACTTTGGAAGACTGAGGCAAGTGGATTGCCTGAGCCCTCAGGTTCAAGACCAGCCTGGGCAATTGGCAAGACCTTGTCTCTACAATAAAAAAAATTAGCTGGGTGTGGTAACGCACACCTGCAGTTCTGGCTACTTAGAAGGCTGAAGTGGAAGGATCGCTTTGGAGCCCAGCAGGTTGACTCTGGGGTAGCCGTGAATGTGCCACTGCACTCTAGCCTGAGTGATAGAGTGAGACTCCAACTCAAAAAAAGAAAAAGAAAAGAAAAGAAACTGCCAGAGTATTTTCTAGAGCGACTGCACTGAGCACGGGACCCAGTGTGTCCCATGGAGTCAGGACACCACCCCACAAGTGTGCTTCTGAGAAATATGACTGAAGATGGGCTTCTCACTTGGTGATCCATGGCCCAAGCTCTGGTGGGTCCTGTCTCTAGAAGGCTGTGACCCTCCCTCCCCATGACCCTGAGCTTTGGCAGGTCCCGTCTCTGGAAGGCTCTGACCCCTGCGGCCCCAAACTCTGGTGAGTTCCGTCTCTGGAAGCCTCTGACCGGCCCTGGGTCTCACTGCCCGGAAATTCATCTGTGTCTCCCTCAACCCTTTCTCAGAGGGTGGATACATGTGGACAGACACCTGCTGCTGCCATGTGTACACCTCCTACATTCACAGCCCCTGGGCAGGATGAATAATTTGTGGCCAGGCTGGGCCTTGCTGGGCCCCATCATGCCTAATTGGAGGTTAGATCAGAGGCACCTGCAGCTCCCACGTCGACAGACAGCTCCTAGACCCTGTCAGCCTGTCCCTTCCTCAAGGGCCAGGCACACAGAGTGGCACCAAGGCCCCCACACTGGGACAGAGGCTACAGCCAATTAGAGCTGTCAGGAGTGACGCCGTGGTGAGGGGCTGGCTGTTGTGAGGACGACAGTGCCTCTCTCCGCCTGCAGCCACACAGACTATCCATATGGTGTGCATCCCCAAAGCACAGCAATGGGCACCCGCAGTGTGGCAGCCGTTCCCCGGGCTCTTGTGGGCAGTGCCACTGTCCCTGCTTCTCGCTGAGTACAGATGCCATTCCAGAAGCTTCTTGCTGAGTTCTGATGCCATTCCAGAACCTCAGTGCTCAGGCATGTGGGACGGCCTCATGCCTCTTCCGCCAACACTGGTCCCGGACGGATCTTAAGCCACTGGTCTCACATTCTCCCTTACTCTAACCCTGAGGGCGACCAGCAGCCTGGTCTGTGGGGCAGGGACTTGGGCATGGCTCAAGTGCAGAGCTGACCCTGAGGGTGCCGGGCCCAAGTGGGTGTCCCACCGTTGCCAGTGTAGGAGCTCAAGAGGGGGAACAAGATTGGTGGCCCCTCTGGAACAGCCAGGCCCACTCATGTCCTGCATGGACGAGGTCTCCTGGGGAGATCATCGCACCCCACGACTGCTGGACTTCCATTCCCAGGTATCTCATCCTCACTGGCAGTGTCGGCAGGTGCAACATTGCGGGTGCTTGACACGTCCTCGGGCCCAGCTGGTGCCTCCCGGCACTGCCTCCTGTCTCACTTGGCTGTGAGATCCAACTCATGGATGCAGAATAGAGGTTCACACTCCACATGGCAGAACACGTGCTGGGACCAGGGGCATGGGGCTGTTGGTCCCACCTTCAATGCAGCCCCCTTCCTCCTCTGCACCTCGTCTGCTATGTTCCCCATGCTAGCATTCTGAGGCTTCCACACACAATGGCATCCATGACCACAGACTGACCACCCTGGAGCTCAAGACACGGATTGACCAGGGTTGAGGCACAAGCCTGCAGGAGCTTGTAAATATGTCTGCCAGAGGCCCATGAGGACTGTGGCCTGGTCTCCTGGCACCAGCGTTGTGGCCAGGTTGAATGGGCTCACATTCTGTCTGCTGAGCCTTTCAGCTGGAGCTGCCCAAGACCCAAGAGTGGATGCTGCCACTGGAAAGAGAACCCACAAGGAAATGGGCCATTGACTCCAGAGAAGACCATGGCTTTGTGGCCCAGCGGCCCATCAGTGGCCGCACTGAGAGGCTGCTTACCACCTGAGGGGAGGCCTCTGCAGGCCGGCCTGAGCACTGCAGGGGAGGCTAGACCTGTGTGCTCACCCTGCACACATCCATGGGTGGCTCCAGCCTCTGGGCCTGTGTCCTCATCTGTGTGGGGATGAACATACCTCCATCCCAGCTGTGGTGTGTCCTGGTGCCAAGCTTCTGCCACGGATGTGCCACCAGGAAGATAGAGGTCCCGTATCTGACTACATTTCTACAGAGACCCACAGATACGGAAAGCACATGGGGTGCAGGCAAAGCACAGTGGCCATGGGATGGGTGTCCCCCAGTGTTAGAGGCAGCATGAGCCTGGAGCAAGCTGTGGCTGCAGCAGTGAGCATGTGAATACTACCATGTGTGCTCTAAAAATGCTGAGCTGCATGTCACCTGGATTCTACCTCCATTTAAACGTCTTTAGACGTGGCTGAGCACAATGACTCATGCCTGTAATTCCAACAGGTATAAGGCCAAGGCAGGAGGTTTGCTTGAGGCCAGGAGTTTGAGACCAGCTTGGGAAACATAGCGAAACTTCATCTCTACAAAAAAAAAAAACAAACAAAAATTATCCAGGCATGGTGGCATGCACCTATAGTCCCAGTTACCTGGGAGGCTGAGGTGGAAGGATCGTCTGAGCCTAGGAGGTCAAGGCTGCAATGAGCCATGATCATGCCACTACACTCCAGCCTGGGCAACAGAATGAGACCTCAACTCAAAAATAAACAAATAAATAATCTTTCGATTAAAAAAAAAAAGAGAGGTGGGACAAGAGGAGCTCAGCCCCATGCACCCACAGGACAGTGGCACCAGTGTCTGACCAGAGTTGAGGTATGAAGCGTGTGCACACGTGGAACCACAGAGAACTCCCCAGTTTGGCAGCCCCATCCAACACACTGTCAAGCCCAGCCTCACCTGCAGGACCCCAGACGCGGACAGGCCAGGAGCACCAGCAGGACCTGGCAGAATTAGACCTCTCCAGGCAGCTCTGCAGGGAGTTGGGCACCAGGACCTAGTGGACAATGGGGAATTGGCTGAGGGCTGGGAACGTTGCAAGGAGTCCTTGGCTGATGGGTTCCAGATGGTGGCCCACACATCCTTGCTGCAGGCCTGGTCTCCCTGTGGGTCCCATCATGCCCAGGACTGATGCCATGTCACCAGGGTTACTCACGGCAAGCAGGGCCCAAACCCCGGGCAGACAGAGCGAGACTGCCACAGTCCCTGCGTGCATGGTGGTAGGTGCGATGTGGCCTGGACTGTGCCCTCACCTTTACAGGAATGAGGTCTGATCTCAGCCACATTGGGCTGGTTCTGCTGGGATGGACACACTGGGTCAATTGCGTTACCTCATAAGTGAGTCACGTGCAGGTGTGGCCCTACCACACAGTGCTTGGATGTGCTGCCAGGTCCCGCTCAGCCTGCATGGCTCCAGGCACACGAGCCCCCTCATCACACACAGCCTGGGTCGTGTGGGCAGTGTGGCACTTTGTGGCCAGCAGGTAGCAAAGGCATGGCATTGGGATTCATGGCCCTTGGGGTCACGTGGGGTGTGACATGGACAACTTGGGCCTGGTGCGTGGTGGCATTGTGAGTGCCTCTGTGCTGTGTGGCCATCACTGTAGCATCAGCCACCTCAGTCACCTTCTGCTGACCATGTTCTCACAATGTGCAGTTCTATCCTCATCATGCTCGGGCATCTCGGGGTCACACAAGGCTCTCCCCTCGTAGAGGACTCCACACATCCACATGGAGGCCGGCTGGGATCCCACACAGGCCCCACTGACTGTCGGCCTCTCTGTCCCTCCTGCAGGCTCTGTGGGGACCCCGCTGCCTGGGGTGGAGGTGCGCATCGTCTCGGAAACCCCGCAGAGGGATGGCTGCACCTATGCCATCCATGCAGAGGGAGACGAGTGGGGGACCAAGGTGGGTCAGAGTGGTGGGCGGGGCCACGTGTCAGGTGTGTTGTGGGTGGTGTCTCCCCTGGAGGCTGAGTTCTCACCATGCAGGGCCCAGCCTCCTGGACAGGGGAGACATGAGTGCGCCCGCAGGTGTTTCCAGACATTCCTGCCATAAGTCCCTGCTGGGGAGCCCGGAACATGGACAGGGGAACCTGGGCTGAGAGTCAACGGATCCACACCCAGGCCTGCCACTCAGGCTTTGCTGAAGATGTGGGGTATGACTGTGTGACCGAGGGGAGGCCCAGGCATGACCCTGGCACTTAGAGCCTCTTGGGGGGATGGGTGGGGATGGCCCCTCGAAGGAGCTCGTGTGGCAGGAAGGCTCAGGGTTCTTGGGCAGTAGGTCTGACTCAAGGGAGCTATGTCCTCTTATGCAGGGCCCCATGCCTGATACCACGCGTAGCTGGTCCCACTGCCCAGGGAAGGTTTCACAAGATGCAGAAGCTGTGAATCACCTCAGTTGCCCCCTTACCACCACCACACTGCACCATCTCGGCCCTCACATGACTGCACTGTCCTATCCATGGGAGGCCACAGGTCACATCCTGCTCTTGACATGTGGACAGGCCACATACCCTGATGGCACAGGCCACATACCCTGATGGCACAAGGGCTAAAGGGATGGTTGCAGGGACACTGTAGCCTGAGCAGGGGATGGGACAAGGCGGCTTTCCATGTGACCATATGTAAAGATGAGAAAGGCATCCAAGAAGTGGGTGTCCCATTTGCATGGAGACCTCTCCTGAGCCGTATGGCTGACACCCCTGCATGGAGGGCAGGACATGCCACCCTGGCCTGGGCCCTGTGGCACCTCCCGCTTGTGCTAGACTCTCTGGACCTGTCGTTGCCTGCAGTGCCATGGGCAGCCTTCGTTGGGAGACTCCTTGGTGGCTCGGCCCCTTGCTGGATGCCTGCCCCCAAGCCCCATCAGGGTGATCTCAGCCGTGGACCTGATACCCTGTGTGGCTCCTGCCTCTGCCCTGCTGGTGCCAGGCCATCAGCCACACCCTGCAGCTCAGCCCCCAATGCCCCTGCCTGTCATGGCTCTCAGGTCTGTGCCCTGTCCTACCTCCAGGTCACCTGGTCCAGCCCATCCAGCCCCCTCAGTGGTGACAGGCTTAGCTGTGCCCAGTCAGGGATACCATGGTCAGGAGTGTCCCTGGCAATGAGCAGGATGCCAAGTGGATCTTCAGAGACAGCCAGCCATACAGGTGTTGGTCACTATGGGCACCTGCCTTCTGACACCTGCTCTGAACCACAGAGAGAGGTGGGTGGTGACGGGAGCCATTCTGTCTTAAAGTACAAGGTCCCCACTCGCACCTACAGCTGTCCCTTAGCTGTGCCCACCCGGCTCCTGCTCCTGGCTGCCAACCATGCCTCCCTGAATTTAATCTTGAAAGGAAAGCAGCTATAGGCCAGCACCATGCCAGTTATAGGGGACCACAATGGGGCCTGAAGCAGGCAGAGTCCTCTGGGCAAGTCCTCACGGAGGCATTGGGCTGACACACACAAAGGGATTAGATCTATGATGTGCATTGGGAACACTTTGTCCTTCTGCAGAAAGGGACAAAGAGGCAGACGGTCGGAGACTGGGGAAGGCTCACCTGAGGCTCCACCCCTCATAGGTGTTTGCCCAGGTGTCACCGGCCTGGCCCAGCGGCCTCTGTGTGACCTGGAAGGGTAGGTGGGACCGCAGGATGTGGGCAGAGAATAGGCACAGCCCAACTCAGAAGCCCTACTGCGTGGGACCTGTGCTCTTTTGGCCCTCCTATGGAGGGTCACACACACACTCAGCATTTGTACCTGACCACATACATACCCCCAGGCACCTCCAACCACCAGGCACAGGACCAGCCCTGGCTGGGGTAGGTGGTGCCCGTCATCACCTGGGCCGCGTGGTAGTGTCATGCGGCATCTCCCTCCAAGGCACTGCAGGACCAGGCTTGTCTTTGGGTGCCGTGAAGAGGAGGCTCTGAGACCCCGAAATGCATGTACCATTCCAGGGCAGAAGTCCGCAACCCCCAGACCTGAATGAAGGGGACTGGTGAGCAGAACATGCCCTTGGGGAGGAATGCACCATGTGGGCCCCAGGACCCTCCTCGGGGCACAGTGGCCTCTATGTTGGCAGTGCAGCTTCCATTGTGCCCCCACAGAGGCCAGTTCACTACCCTACCCACCTCCCCTATGTCCTGTTATGTCATTGGCGAGCCCGGCCAGGAGCTGAACAGTGTAGCTTTTGGGGGTTTCCTTCGAGCCTCTTTCCTGCATGTGTGTGCATGTGACACTGGTATACACCTGACACTTGCAGCTCGTGTTCTGAGCTGAGTTTGTGTATTTCACTGTGTGTTCCTCACATGTAACTTTAGTCCTACAGGGTTCAAGTGTGCGATTAACCTCCAGGAACCTGGTCTAAGTGCAGAGGATTTCCTCCTGATTAGGGGAGAAGCATCTGGGGTAGGGTGCTGTGTACAGGGCAGAGTGCAGGGTCGCAATGCAACCTGGGATGTCGGAGCCATGTCCCCCACCGTTGGGGTCACTATCAAGGCCACACAGGCTGCAATGAGCCCCTGCTCAGGCCTTGTGCACTTCTGGGTTCCTCTAGAGCACACTGTCCCACATCCAACCCCACCCTGTCCCTCCGGCTCCCCACCTGCTTCTGGATCCTTCCTATGTTCTGAGGGGGGGTTTCCAGGATAGAGCACACTGAAAGGTGGGTGGGCCACTGGTCGTGGGGCACATGTGCTGTGCGGAGTGAGGCCAGAAGCTCTGACTCACGACATCCCACACCTGCTCACCCTGACCAGTCTTGTGTGGCTGGCATGGCAGGAGGGTTCATGCTCTGTGCTCCGTGCGTGGGGCATGTAGTGAAGGCATGGAGGGTGAGGTGCATGTTCTGCGGTCAGGACAGCCCACTCATGCATGCGGATGACCTGGGACCGGCCCCCATGGCCTTCTGGGGTCTTCCTTGGGCCCAGCTGCCCACCTTCCCTGTGCACATCAGAGGCTCCCTGATGCTCTCAGCCTCTGCCTGTGGGCACCTCTGGTGGCCGAGCTCTTCCAGCACATAGGCTGACATGGAGCATGAGTCCTCAGCCACATGGCCTCCCAGAGGCTTCTGTGGGAAGCCTCAGAATGGGGCTTGTTCTGGCACTGGGAGGTAGCACCCACAGGGTAGACAGGGCTGCACGCCAAGTCCCTCTTAAAGTCCTTCACGGTCATGATCCTGTTTGATGGAAGCAAAGGACTCCTTAGTCCTTCAAGGGCAGCCAGGCGAGACTTAACTTGGACCCCCATGACCAGGCCCACGAGGAACAATCAGCTCTCACAGCCATCCCTGTGCCATGGATCCAGCATGCCTCACTCCCGTTTGGAGCCTGTGGCAGCTCTGGCCTTGACCGGTAGCCACAGGGCTGAGTCTTGGCTGCAACTCCCACATTGTGTGCGGCTGTGGGGGACCTCAGGACCCCTAGGATGGCACCCTCCCCCCATGGCCGTCCTGTTCCACCAGAAGCTGCCTCACCTGTCTTGCAGGGTTGGCTTACCTTCTCCTGGGCCATGGCACCTACTTTTTGTGTTGCAGTGTGAGCTCAGTGCACGGCTTCCTGGCCTGAGCCTCAGCCTACATCAGTGTTGTCTCTTTCCTATGTATTTTCCGTCTCCAAAATGCTTGTGTGCACAGACCCAGGAAGAGATAGCAGGATCGTGCGTGGTGACAGCCACACAGCCACATGTGGGCCACACTGCACAGGGCGATGGCTGTCCCTGTGGAGGCTCAGGGGCCGTGCGGAGGAAGGGCCAGGGCCAGGCAGCAGTGCACTCCTGTCTCTGTTTCCCCTTTAAAAATCAATTACCTCATGTTCATCCATATGCAAGCTGTCGGCCTGGACAGCGGGCAGCTCCTTGCCTACCCTCCTCTCCACGGCTACCAGCCCTGGCCTCCCGTGCCCGCCCTGTAGCACCATCTGTCACTGCTATGCTGCCAACTGCTGTACCCACAGCCGGTGGGGGTGGGGTCAGCCTGGACAGGCTCTGCCCTGCAGTGGAGGAGGTGCTGACCCCATGTTGTCGCGAGCTCCAGCAAGGCCTGGCCGTTGGGCTGTGACCCTGCCTAGTGCCGCCCATCTATAAAGGGCCTGTGAGGGCACAACATGTTGTGAGTGGCCACAGCAGCATCTGCAGGCAACATGGCGTCTTGGGCTTCCCTCCCTTCTGGAGGCCAGAGCTGCCTCCCCAGAGCTGTTGAAGGGCTGCACAGGAATACAGGACTTTTGGATCACGCTCCAGCCTGCTTCCTGTTGCCTCATCTGTACATGGACTGGCCAGGGCCCCAGGCCTCCCTTCCTCAACGTCCAGACCCTTCTTCCCCAGAAATCCAGGCCACCACTCTCCAAGGCCCCAGACTCCCCCTTCTCCAGGGCTCCAGACCTCCCTTCCCCAGGGCCCCACACCCCCCTTCCTCAGGGCCCCAAGAACCCCCCTTCTCCAGGACCCCACACCTCCCCTTGCCAGGGCCCCAGACCCAACCCCCCTAGGGCCCCAGGACCCCCTTCCCCAGGACTCCTGGCTCCGTCTTCCCCAGCCCCTGCTTTCTTAGTGCTTGAGCTGGCTGCAGCCCTGTGCTGGGCGGCTCCCTGAGCTCAGGACACTCATAACAAGAGGCTGCCCCCACCAGAGCCATTCACAGGGTCTCAGCTGGAGTAGGATTCCATGAGGACAGGACTCTCCCTGAGTCCCATGCCTCACCTGTGGCTGCCCTGCAGTCCTACCTCCTCTTGGGCTCAGGGCCTGCCCCAGGATCCAGCATCACCTGGTGGGTGCTCTTCCCCAGGGGCAGAGCTGTCCTCTGTGTGAACTGGTGTCAGGGAATCACAGGCATCCGGAATCCCACCCAGGCTCCCCAACACCTGCCATGATGGAGAAGGGAGAGGGATGGTGCTGGATGGTCGGTCCTTAGGCAGCAGAGTG